CTTTCCAGGAAAGAGAAAACGTCTAAGATACACTCATACATGTGACCCCCAGGGCAATCTTGGACGTCCATTGAGAGGGACAGCATGGCAGAGGTTGGCTTTTTCACTATGAGCAAGGAAGGACCTCATTACTTTTTAGAGTCATTTAGGCTCATAGAAGAAGTGAAGTTATGTTAAAGAGAGCCTTGTGCAACCTAATGACTATACTAAGGGGCATATTACTAATATTCAGTCTTTCAATACTAATGATTAATGGCAGAATATAACCAGACACCAGCAAGGCTGATTGTGAGAGGCTGAGCTGAAAGTTTATTTTCTGCAACAGACATAAAAGTATTTCAACCTTTGACAAATAACACAAATGTCTATACTCTGGCTTTTCTTAGCATAAAAAGGGCACACATTCTCTGCTAATGGAGTACTAAGTGCAATTAACCCCATAGCACATTAATGCATTAGCCTTGAAATGTTTTGTAAACTGTAAAGAAGGATGCTTTAGTGCCAAATGTCCTCACTAAAGGTGAATGAAACTAGGCTGCTTGTTTCAAAGCTACTCACAAAATTAATGTCTGACATTACAACATGGTCGATAATACAGGACTGTTAGAAGGGTAATGTTAGTTAATGGAGTAAGCAAAAGCAGGTCTGGTGAGAGGCCAGTGAAAGGTCAGTTTGTAGCTGTAGAGGTTCACTAGAATGGTGACAGAAACAAAGCGGTTTTGTCTTGTTTGTACTCAGCCTTAAGAGTTGCATATGAGTAGCATAAATTGCTACAGTTGACTTGTCCAAATCCATAGGTAACACTAGCAGGAGAGTGTTAAACTTACATCTTGTCTTGGCTAACATGAGCATAAACTGTAATAACTATAATGGCCTGCATGTGACTTCAGACTGATAAGCAGCAGTGAATAAGCCTTTCTGGGTGATGGGTAGAGAAGAATTATGGTGCAGCTATGGTGGAATTACAGAGCTGTGCCGGGATTATGGTTTGGCCCCCTAAATGCTCTGAGGAGCCCTCCCTGGGGAGGAAAAAGAAGGTGGAGTAGCGGGGAGAGAGGCCTCAAGTATGACATTTTCTTTCACTCTTTTAAAAGCATGGGTTTAAGCAATTTTTACTCTTTAAAATGTTTATGTGCTGTAATGTGATGGAGTTTTTAGGAACCTGATCTTCATTTCTCGCTGCTTTACAACAAGAACAACTAGCAGCTGCCTTGAATTCACTGGGGCGAGATAAAATCAGAGAGCCAAAGTTAGCCAAGACCACTGGCCAGACTCAGCCTGTGCTACCTTGCACCTTCCCCCGCCCAAAGAGATCTGCCAGCACTAAGAAAATGGCCTTGATCCCACAAAAACATTCTTAAGCCTCACTGTGCTAAAGCGGATTTTGGCATTGCCTTGTCCATGCATGGGAAGAACCTAAGAACACTGGCCAGGCAGAGCAACCCCCAAAGGTGTCCATGTCCCGACTGCCCATGAACATCCACCCCTCTGCACACCCCTCTGACGGTCAGCAGCTGAAAGGGTGCTGCCTTAAATCCTCCGTCCAAAACAGACAGGGAACTGGGCCCATGGGCACCGCAGAACACGCCTGCCCTGCTGTGCTGAAAGAGCCACCAGGATGCAAAAATATTCAATCGCCTTGAACTGATCATCACACCATTATTTTTCTGCTGTGTTTTGTTTTGGATCTGAACCCAGTTCGGCATGTTAAAAATAGCACGGTGAGCTTCGGAAAAATCTGTTGGGTTTTCTAGAGTCTAGGCATTTATACCACAGTTGCTGTTGCTTTAATTAAAAAGAAGAGCTCACATGACAGAAATGAGTCCTAGGTGCTGACATTTCAGTGCAGTAGCCACAGCACCAAAACACAGTTTTAGCTTTTTTCTGTTCATTGTGGACTTCGGGCCAAGAGGAAAAATGACTGTGGATGGCTCAGTGTCCTGCTCCACAGGTCAGTACAGCAGAGACCCAGAAAGGTTGAACTCAGTACATTTCTTTGAGAAAAAAAAAGGTCATTTCTCTGTTTAGCATCGGGAATGACTCAGTAAACCAGCAAAATGACTCCAAAATTCTTTACTTGCTTTTTGAATAGGAAGAAAATACCACCCTGAATGATTTTATAGAATCCTTGACAAACGCAGTGGTCTTCTTTTTTCCAGTTAGTTCAGGCTCTATATCCCTCTGACTTTCCATCCTTCTTACAAATATGATGTTGATTAAGACACTGGAAACAGAAATCCTCTTGAATTAAGCATTTTTCTCAGAGGAACTCCTTGCAACTCTGTAAGCAAAGCCACTACCCTGTGACATTTGAAAACAAGAGCCATGAAGCCACCCACCTGGGAATAAAGCCACTGTCTGGTTCGGCTCTGCTACCATTTAAATCTCAAAGGTCAAAAGAAAATGTTCCTCAATTGTTTCTTCATGGAAAAGAAATTGGGCATGAGCTGGGGAACATTTTCTTGCTGGTGGATTTTTAATTCAAAACAGACTCAATAGGAAATTTTCTTAAAAATGCAGCCGAAGGGTTAAGAACGTTATGAAGGAAAATAAGACTCCGGATCCAGCTCAAGTTTGGTTCAGCAAACCTCACTTCCCTGCTGGCAGGTTACGGGTTTGGGTGCTTGATCCCATCTGGTGGCACTCCAGAAAACACGAGAAATCCCTGTCCACGGTGGTACTGCAAGTTCACCTTATCCTATACGAAACACAGCCGCGGCTACCCCCGTCCTGCTGCCTCCTCCTCTGCCTGGCAGCAGACCAGGCTGTGGCAGGGGTGGGACAGGGACGTGTTTCACGGGTGTGCCGAGTCCTGGGCACGCGTGCGAGGCGCAGAGGGAGGCGTGTGTCCAAGCAAGTGGGTAATGAACTGCTGCGTGTCGCTGGGTGAGATGATCCTTTAAAAATAATCAAACTAAGCAGCGCTTGTTTCCCCCCAGGTGTGCATCCCCTTTATGCAGGCACTGGATAGGAAACACATTACGCTGTAATTTAATTTTTCAGTCAGCTCCGAGAACAAGTGACCTCTTTGAAGCGGGTTTGCACAGAGCCCCGGTTTGGCGCGCGGCTGTAAGGCCGCGAAACCTTTGATCTTCCCTCTCTCACAGCCCCAGCACTGCTGTCCCCTCCACCTCCTGCGTCGCCTTCGGTCCTACCTCCACCAGCTTGGCAGGTGGGCGCCCCATGGGAGGCCCTCGTCCCCTGACCCTTGGCTGGGACACCAGCAGCCCGAAGCCTTCTCCTGGTGTACACACAAGCCACCCTTTTGGGGAGCTTGAGCTCAGGTGCCTGTGAGGGCATCATGGTTGGTGTCTGCTGGGCTGGGGTGGGTCATCTCACGTCCCCCCCAAAGCAGAGCCCTTGCTGCCCCGGCATGGGGAGCTACTCAGCTGGCTCAGCCCACTGGAAGAGAGCCCATCCCTGCAGTCAGCTTTGGTGAAGCCCACTTTGTGCCTGCCCGTGCTTCTGAGAGGTCAGTTTATCAAACTGTGACAAACAACTGGGAGCCTTTGTGGGCACAGGCAGGGTGGGGACAGGGGAAAGGGCAGGGGCTGAGGAGGTTACAGAGGTGAGGGCTAGGCTTCCCCGGTGTGACGTAGGAGTGATGCTGAGCAGCACTGGGCTGGGCTCCCCTCCGGCACCGGCCTCCCACCGCCCCCCCCACGGGAGGCTACTGGGTGTTCATGGCACTGGCCTTGTGGGGACGGCCCTCAGCCCTTCCTCTGGGACATGCTGGCCTCGGGCACGGTCCTGCATTCAACCCCTGCTGATGGTGCCTCTTTTATTTCATCGACTACTGAGAAGGGTTTCAAACCCAGAAAGCTCTCCTTCGGCGGTCGCCCTCGCCGCTGTGCCCCGCGGACCTGCCGACACACAAACCCACTTAGCTCAATTCAACACTCCTGCCGCGGAGCACTTCCCAGTGCTCACCTGCACCGTGCAGGATCCCGGGGGAGGCGGCACACGGCGCTCTGAGCCTCGTTTGGTCTTTCATTTACCCCAGCACCGAGGCAAAACAACTTCTCCCAAAGTCAGTAGCACGCCCTGCGGCTGCACAGGTAAAAATTCAGGACGAGGCCACGGAAACACAAAATTACCTGTGAACAATTGCCATCACAGCTAGTGCTATCATCACAGCTAGTGCTATCACAGTATGCCCAGTCCTACGGCATGACTCTGCAATGTCCAGCAAGACGGTTGCAAGCTGGAGCTGAGCCCCTTCAAACTCAACAAGTGCTCTTATAATGAAGCTCATTACTTCTTTAATCAGTAGCTTAGCATTGATTTAATGAGTTCCCTTTAGAAGTCTCCAATGCTGCATTCCTTGGAAGATTAAGGGCTGGTTTTTGGTTTTGGTTTTTTTTTTTTTTTTTTTTTTTTTTGATTCTAATGATGTTGTTACTGAGAAGGCATGAGAATCTGAGATATGCCCTGCTTACCCCTGGGTGAACCCCATTTACATGGCATTTTTACTGCAGGAATCCTTCCAAACATCGCACAGATGGAATTTCACATCTGACAAAAGAAACAGATAATGTTTTTTGAGCAAAAAAACCCCTTAATACCGCCTGAGTTTGCATTGGCTTGCTCATGTAATCGTGCCTCTTTTGTGTTAGTGTCAAAAGCACTCTCCAGAGACTGGTTCTGAGAAACATGTTGTTTTTTGTTTTTTTTTTTTTTTTTTCCCCTCATAAACCAGCATAGATGACAGACAACATGCCTTACCAACAGCTATGCAAACACTCGCCACCCTTTCAAAATATCAAAACGTTTTCATACTGAACTGTAAAGGTGCCAGGGAGCTCCGTACCAGCCTTGCTTCTGGGGGGGCTGTCAGGCAACAAACTCATTAAGCCCCGTCAAGAGAGAAGCGGCACTTTCAGCTCGGCAGAGCCGGCACGGAGGCGCCCACGGCGGCAGCGGGACCACCGCCACGTCTAAGCATCCATCCGAGATGGATGAGGAGAAGCGGCCCGCTCTGGGGAACCTGGCGCAGGTTTGGATTCTCTGAGGTCTTGTTCCTGAGGACACGACTTTGGCGGTCACGGTGGGTCTCTAGGGCAGTGGCAGAGGGCACCGTGGGCAACGGAGACGTGCGCGGTGGGATGGGACTGTGAGTATCAGCTCTCCCTTTACCTCGTTTCTGCAGCCACTCATACAGCAAAGGGGAAGGAAGGGAAAGGGTATCTTCGCTGTTTCGTTTTAAAGGAGAAACAAAAGGCGAGGCGGGGTGAAATGAAAATTTAGAGCAGGAAGGCAAGAGAGAGAGTTATTTGAATTTTGCTAGTCAGAGTTTATTTGCTCTTAAGACTCGCAGAGGCTGTCTATTACAAAAAAGGCACTTGGTTTGCGGCCAAAGAATTGCTGACGAAAAGAAGGAAAAAAAGACTCGCAAAAATGCAGCGGCATTGTTTCTGTTTAAAAACAGTGAGCTGTCAGCTCGACAGCATATGAGCTCCCCCTCTTATCCAGGATACATTCATCCCCCAGTTTTCCCTGCGCTGTGAACGATGGCTGCACAAACAAGGCAGGCTTATGGAAGTGAAAGTTTTAATTAATGTTTATCGTCATTTAGGAACCACTTGGCAGAGGCAACGGGGACCCCGGGGACCCCCGGCGATGCAGCGGCACTCCCCATCGCCCCACAGCCGCGCGCCTGCCGGCCGTTCCGCGTGGCGGTGGGAAAATGCCCATCGCTAAACGGGCAATCTCCAAACAGCTCGGCACACCGTGCTGCCTGGGTGAAAAACCTCCTCGCAGGCAAAACTTTGTAAACACGTTGCGACGCTGCTCTGGGAGAGGAAGCCTGCACGGCTGCTAAACCGAGGAGCCCCACGGCGGCAGTGAGAGCTGCCAGCCTCCCCTTCCCCTTTAAATAAACATCCGTGTACAAAGCAGAAGCCGCTCGAGATCCCCCCCGCCCCGAGCCCCGCTTCCCTTTAAAAAGAGATTTGAAGCCCGCAACAGCACTGAATGCAAACACGCGTCTAACATTACAGAAATAGGTCGTGCAGCAAACCCAGCCTGCAGCCGCTGCTGCGTCCGGAGACACTACTTTGTGAAAAACAGCAAAAGTACCTTTTGAATTCTTCCATCAATATCCAAATAAATACACTTGGGCCGGTAGGTTGAGGAGGCAGATCCCATCTTGCTACAGCTGGGCTTTCACTGGACTTTTTTCTAGTATCAAGCAGAACAGAAAATAAGGTTTATCCTACCAAGCCGAGTCACCGCTGCCTGACAGTTTGGTGTCCCTGCTCCTCTGTATCCCACTGTACTCTTATTCAGGGAAGGTCCCTCCTCTAACATGCATGCATTTTGCTGTGCCTCTGTCTCTCTCTGCCACCTCCTTTTAGTTTTGCTTCCCTCCAAACCCAGCTGCCTCGGACAGGGAAAGACACAGGCTCCAGCTCCTGCCTGCAAGTGCCCTCTCAATTCCCATAGCAACAACCCCTCTTGGCTTTAGGGCTGAGAGCTGCTGGGCATCCCCCACGGAGCTCTGACCCCGGGGCTGACCAGCTCCCATTACTCACAAGACCAAGTGACGCTTATCCCCCGGGGGGGCTGGGGAGGGGAGAAAAAAAATCTCCTTTGTCAGGGTGGTGAGAGATGCATTCATTATGCTGAAATAGGACGGTAATTATTAATTAGTGCTGACCCTCCCGGTGAGCTGCCTGCACCCTGCAAGCGGTGTGACAGGGTCCCAGCTCTGCCCTGTGCTGGAAGTGCCCTTTCAGGCCCCTGACGCAGATGGGGCTCGGACTGTCCCAGCCCAAACTCAGCAGCTTCATTTCCACATCCCTCCTGTTACTATTACAAGGATGGAAAGAAAAAGCAGCAGCTTTTTCTTTTTTTTTTTTTTTTTTTTCCTCTGTAAGCTCCAGAAGCACAAAGAAAGCTTAAAGCCCATGCTCTTGCCCAGCACCATCCGTGCCACCCCCGGAGCGCAGGAATTTCTTATTTAAGTGAACGTGAAGTATCCTGGCAAAACCATCTCCCATGGGAAGACACAGATGAAAACCAGGGGGGTGCAAAGCACCCGACAGCCGATTCTCTGAGTGGGTGCCAAATTCTATCTGCTGCGTGTCTGTGCTGCGCTGTGCTGCAGTGCCGGCGCCCGTGGGGAGCTGAAGCAGCGGCGGGGTGATGCTCGGTCACGGAGGGGAAAGAGCTTTGGAGACAGCTGCTCCTCTGCCCTAGCAGAGGAGAGAGGCTGTCTGATGGGCTGCAAGCACGCACGGCGGCTGGAAACAGCTTGTCCTGCGAGCGTTAGTTCTCAGCGTTCTCTGAGGCTTCTCATGGAGGAGCTGCGAAAACATTTCCCAGCCTCTTTTGAGCTGCAGTCTGGGAGAGCTGGGCTTGCAGCGGTGGGGTCGGTGCTGCCTTCCCTGCCCACCCCCGGCCCTTGCTGCACCTTGCGCGACACACAACTGACCCGCAGAGGAGGCCAACGTGGCCCCGCGGGCTACGGCGTGATGTGCAGCCTCGGCTGCCCCCTGCAACACGCAGGCAGGGCTCGCTCGCTCTGTGAAGGGGATTCATAAGAGCTGGCAGGGCTGAGCTGGTCCCGAAGCCAGAGCCAGGCTGGCCTTTCGGGCCAGAGCCAGCGCTACTCCTAATGCCCTCAGAGCCAGCACCGAGGGGACACTTTGGGGAGGTACAAGCCTTTGCTTCACATTCTTCCTCTGCCAGCTTGGAGCAGACACTTGAAGTCTTCCTGCAGAAAGCCCTCCCCACTGTAGGGCTATCCCGTGGGCTATCCTGTGAGCTATCCCCTAGGCTATCCCCCAGGCTATGCTACAGTCTATACTGTAGGCTGGCCTGGAGGCTACCCTCTAGGCTATCTTCTAGGCTATTTTGCAGTCTACCCAAAAAGCTATCCTGCAAGCTATCCTGGAAGCTAATCCCATAGGCTACCCTGTGGGCTGTCCCCATGGCTATTCTGAGGTTGGCACAGCCTCTCCCACTGCAGCAGCCCTTCTACATCATCCCCACGGCTTCTATGCATCAGTCAGGACCCCTGCGACCGGTCATTTCATTCCTGGTCTGCTAAGCATTGCCTTAACCATGGTTCACTCCTGGGTGACTTGACTGAGCTCGACAAGCAGCAGGTACCTGAGGAAGACAGCCATGAGGACAAAAATGCAGCCATTTAGAAAGAGGCAGCAAGGGCACTCATGCTGGCAGATGCACGTGGGGTGTTTGGTCTTGCAGAGGGGGAGGCTGAGATCTCCCCCCATGATGACCGGCCGCAAGAGTGGTCCAGCGAGATCACAGGTGCACTGCAGGATTTGATCACACATCACTGAGACATCTAATGATCAGAATCTCATACCGGTGAGCATCCACCTTTTGATTTCTAGTTTAAAAAGCAACCAGCTTCTCCAGCCAGTAAAATGACAGGCTCCAAAATCCAGGTGATGATCCTGTTCCTGCCACTCCATCCTCCTTGTCAAATCTATTGTCCCTGGGTATTTAGATTTTCTTTCTTAAGCTCCAGCACACATTCCAACCCCCCTTAATGACATTAGTACTTTTTGGAAAAACTGTTTTGCTGTAAAATTGCGGATTACTGCACTTTTCAAGAATTTTTCATGTAGAAGTGAATCTACAAAAGCTGAGCTCTCAGAAATTATGGTAAAAGCCTGATGCAATCTACAGCACAGCTCAGGCCCATGCCTGAAAGGTGACAAAAGGTGGTTTTCATCAAAGAGGATGTGCAGCTCTGTGAGATTGCTGCCTTCCTTTAGCAGGTTTAACCCTCCCAAATCTCCTTATTTCATTATGTGCTGTGCAACTTGGGGTAAAAATGACTTGGAGTAATTACCCGCTCTTACTGAACCCTTCGACAGTTCATCAGCTGGGCTAAATCCTGGCAATACAGTGCCAGATGATGTTTCACCATCGTTTGTCTTAAGGGAACATTTTGGCCAGCTACGGGCAGCACTAAGCTATTATGCCCCAGACCGCAGGCGGCAGTCAAGTGTTGCACAGCTCTGCTTTGCCTTCTCTGCTAAGCTGTTTACCAAGGCCAACACCCACCACTTTGTACACACAACCTGTAAAAGTAGATGTGCAGGCTGCAAGGCTTGAGCCCCTGGCCCGGCGATCTGGTGCTGCCCCAGCCAGATGTCACTTACCCTGGCAGGTGCCCCCAAGGAGACAAAAAGGTGCCTCTGTCTCCCAGTCCCAGCGTCTGCTCCACCTATGCGGTTCAGAAGCAGCTTTATTAGGGTTTCCAGTGTGTAGCTGTAGGATATTCAGATCACACACGATTTGCACTTGGACTCACCGCTATCAAGGCACAAAATATCCACGCTGTCTTTACCTGGGTCAAGATCCATCCTCTGCTGCAAACCTTGCTTAAAGGGTGCGTGTAAAGCTTTAGGGATGCAGAGGGCTGCCCCAGCCACTCTCCATGCAGGGCTGGCATGGGGTGGCATGGCACCATCTCCATCCACTCCATCCCCTCTGCCCACGGCTGCAACTACGCAGAAGGGACAAGGCAGGGACAGCACCGCCTCTGCTCGCCTTTCCCCTGTACTGCCAGCCTGTGCAGCCTCTCTGAGGAGCTGCCCCGGCCAGACACATCTGGAGGTGGCAACATCTTTTTGCAATAGTCTCCCAAAATCTGTCCTTTCCCCAAAGCATGCCCATTGATCAGAGTCACCTATTTGCAGCCACGGGACTGAGTTCCCAGGGCTCACTTCACTGGTCCTGAATTCCCCGTGCTCACATGGTGCCACCCACTGCAGACCATGACCCCCAGGCTCTCTAAAATCTAGTTTTCCTGCAGCACTCAAGAAATTAAGTGCCCCTTGCAACACGTTGTGGGCAGCTGCACATCCAAACTGGGGGAGTACAGGGTGGTAATCTTCAAATGGATTTAGATGGGGAAAAAAAAAGCCAGGTAAATTAAATTTTGCAGTGAAAGATCTCCCATTCTCTTATCCTCAGAGAAATGCATGTCCATGAGTCATCGCTGAACGCTGTTTCCTCATGCTCTGCCGCACTTTGGCTCTCCTTTTCCTCCATGGTGGAGTGAGATCCATCGGGGCCCTGCCCGCAGTGCCTGCCCCTGCCCTGCACCCTCCTCAGTGGACTCAACACCAAATAGCTCACCCCACCTGAAGGGTCAGGAGAGGTACCAATGGTTGAGGCTAGGGAGGGAAAACCTTGGGTTTTGTGCAAATCTCAGAAAGTACCTTGGTGCCTATGGAAGGGGCTGATTAGAGTCTAAGGTTGTATTTGGAAATGCTTCCTGGGCCATTGGGACTGGGAAGGTGCAGCCTGGCTGGAGAAGGTGATGGGCAGCTGGAGCATGATTCAAGCCAAGTATTTTAAGGATGGTGATGCATTTTGAACAAAGTCTGACTAGAAGAAAAAGCAGAGAATAATACGTTTTTTAAAAATCAGCTTTTTTCCTTACCTAATCCATATCTAAGACTCTCAGCTACTCCCTCTGCCCACTATCCCTTCTCTTGTAGGTCTCCTCCTTCAGCTGTAGTCTCTTGCATATGCCTGTCTGTCTCCACATTTCCGCAGGGCCTTGTCTTATTGCTTCACCTCTCTTGCTTCACCTCTCCATACTGCTTCCCTCAAATCTACTGAAACATCTAATTGCCCTTAGAGCTGGGAAGGTTTCTCCTTTGCTCCCCCAGCTCCTTTTCCCCTACCTACTTCACTTAGTCTTCTCTCCCTACTTCCACCATCTTTGGTGTTTCACCACTCTTCCTTCTAGATTTTTCTCCTCCACAAACGTATAAGTCAGGGTCAAGTCTATGCAGGAATTAACTTTTCATGGCAGTTACGCTGTTAATAGCTAAACTGATGGTTATGCCAGTGTAAGCTCCTCCATCACTCCTGTTGCAGAGCACGACAGACCTTTTTGGTCCAGCTCTCACTCCTTTCCAAGAGCCTATTGGAAGCTTATGGCTTGCTGTATATGGAAATTTTAGCATGCGTCTTTGCATGTTTATTTTATGCACTGCCAGGTTTCCACAGGCCCAGTCCTGGAAATTATCATATTTAATGCTAATTGTGGAATGAGTGATTATTAATACTGGGACCTTTGTACAATTTATCTATGCAGGCCCTGAAAGCTTGTGTTTGGCCCTTCACCACGCAGCAGCACAGCTCCCCCCCTTGCTCTTG